ATTGTCTTGTTATCCAAAAGTCCCGAGTTCAAGACCTAGTCCCGGAGTTTCTTTTTACTTAATGTTTATTAGGAAGTGTGCTTTCATTGTTTCATAATATTAATTATATGTAGTAATAATAAAAATACATATGGAAGTCTAATTAGACTCCTATTATTTGGTAGTTTGGTGGAAAATCAACCCACTAATTGCCTGACCACTACAACACAAACCAATATAAATTTTCAACTTATAGTTAAAAAAGCCTTTTGATTGAGGGGAAACGAGGATGGTTTCTACTCTTGGATAAAACCTTGGCCATTTAGTCAAAGATCCTTGGTTCAAACCCCAGTCTGAGTTTCTTTTCACTTACAATAATGTTTGTTACAAGATAGTCAATCTAAAGTACAGCAGAGTATAAACAAAGATATGACACACACAAGTAATTATGAACATCTAGTGTGATCCAATGATCAAGTGAAAGATGCTCAGACAAAAGATACGAATTTAAAACCAATTATTCAATGGATTAAGAATAGTGCAGAAAGACCCTCATGGCAAACAGTTAATCCATACAGCCCAAAGACGAAGATTTATTGGACACAGTAGGATTCATTATGCCTACAAGAAAGATTATCATGTTGTAAATGAAAAGATAGATACTAGTAGACAGAAGCACCACCATCATCTCCCGAACCTTCTAATGGCTGGATATGCAGATATTAAGAAGATAATAGAGGTAATAAGAAAGTAAATATTTTGAACTTATGCTATGAATGTAAAGGTCCAGGAAAGAAACAGCATGGACAACTACAGCAGCATTGTATTAAAGCACCACCTGAGGGATGTGTTTTGTCTCTCTCTACCACAGTGGAAATAGATAAAATATGGTTATGATGGATTGTTTTCACCAAATGGTCAGAAGCATATGCTTTTCCTGAACAGGAAGCAGAAACTCTGTCAAGGTAATCAGTCAATTAATCTATTTCAAGAACTAGGGTGCCTATAAAACTCCAATTAGAAATGTAACTTTGAGTCATCCTTGTTTGTGGAATTAAAAAAACCAGAACAGACCTTCATCCATGTTGGAGAGATTGTTAAATAAACTATCCACTTACATGGATGAACACTGGAAAACATGGGATCAATATCTTCCACTGCTATTTATTAAACAGCAGTACATGAAGCTACAGGTAACCATCAATAATGCTTGGGAGAGAACTTAGTGTCATTGGACCTTTTGTACTTTCACCTGGAGAACAGTCATTCAGAAGAGCCTTACACAGAATATGTATAGATATTAAGGAACACCACTGAGATCATACATGACTTGACCATACCCTGAAAAGACAAACCAGATAGCGATAAAACGAAAGGTGCTATGATGTTAACGATGGTACGACTGGATTCCATAGAGGTGACATGGTACGACTGTCGAAAAGTTGCTATGATGTTAACGATGATACGACTGGATTCCATAGAGGTGACATAGTATGACTGTACAATTCCCACCACATGAAAGGACAAAATCGAAAGTTGGGAAGTTTGTACAGAATCCAGAAGGATTGGTGATCCACACAAAGCAAAGGTTAGCCACACTGATCGTCTTTGAAAGTACGTCAGTGAGAGAACAAGCAACTGGAAAACTCCAAAGAACTTATCAGCAGAAACTCAACCTGCTGAGCACCTAGGGTTCCTGTAAAAACTACTTACAGAAGGCCAGCAAAGAAAGTGCTGCCAGTGGATTCCCTTAATCATCTACCAAGGAAAAAACCCCTCGGTGACAGGACAGCCAGTGAAAGTCATCCTATCCTTGGAAAAGAAAATCACCAAAAAAAGATTTTGGGAATGAACAGTTAGTGTTTTGTTATTGTATCAGGATTGTTCAAGGGACTTCAAAATCTAGGAATGGGGTGGTGTTGTAAGCTGTATTTTCAATGTTTCAGTTTAGATGTTTGCTAGAGGGCACATCAAGTTAAAATAGGCCTAGAATAGTCACAAATATTAATGATAGAGAGCCTTTGCAAAGTGTCTGAAAACATGGCTATCTTATTAATACGAGCCTTAGTGAAACACATAGTCAAGAGTTTTCAGTTGGCAGAGTGTCAATTATTTGGTGAAGTATTTAATTTCAGAAAGTATTTGGATCAGTTTTAGTTATTGCATATATTCGTTGACTTGATAGATTAGTCATGAAATTGTTCAAGTTAGTTTATTTATACATTATTCATGGTACCATAATGAGCAAATCTTTGTTGAATTTGAAAGTGAAACATATTTGTGAATTTAGGTCTATAGAAACATTACAAAAGAAATACACTAATTCATTATCAACCCATGGACTGGATTTGTTCTTATTCTCACCAAATCATTTAAAAGAACCAGCCCAATAAAAGAACTATTTTACAACATTATGGGGTCACACCACACTGTCCAAAACACGTTTGTTTGATTTTTATTGTTACTAACATCAGTATTTTTCTGATGGCCAGTTGGTTAATTTATGAGCCTTAAGCTCTTCTACATACTAGAACTTATGTGACTTTACTACCTTTTAATTGGACATAGCTTATTATTTTACTTATATCTATACTCAGAGCTGTCTAGAGCCTTCCGAGGTCCTGGTCTCTCCATCCCCGAGTCAGATCAGCAGTAACCTTCACTGTACATTTTTCTTCATGCTTCACTCAACACACCTTTTTACCTTATTATTATCTTAATTAACAGTATTTATTCAGTTTAGAACAAATGCATGCTTTACCACAAAGAAAGTTGCAGTTCTTTGATACCAAAATAGCTTAGGCATAGAAATCCCCCTACATACTAGTTGCTTAGCAGTAACTCTGAGGGTTTTTAAGACTAAAAATTAGGTCTTGATGCTCATAATGTGCATAGCACATCCAAAAATTATTTATTATAATTCATATATTAAAAATATACTTTCATTAGTGTGAAAATAAATCATTTGGACACAGTACAATTTTTTGATTGCACCAAAATCTAATCGTTTTCTCATCATTTCAGTGAAAGGCAGTTTCTGTGAAAAAGTTCTTCAGTCGGTTAAAAATGAAAAGGATATGATTTTTTGATTCCTTAAAAGGAAAATATTTTTAGTGAGAAGCAGTGATGCATCAAACTATCCTGTTCACCAAAGTCCTTACCTAACAAAATGTTTCATCTAGTTATAAAATATAATTAAGACAGACAAAAATATGAAGCCATAAGCTTCAATCACTTTTGAAAAGTAGATCTTTCTTCATCAGAGGGCCAATGAAGAAAGGTGGACTTTTTGAAAGTGCTATGGTTATGGGGTTTTGTATTTTTGTCTTTGATATTTTGCATCTTGCTAACATAAAGTGAAAATGTTGTCGATGTGTTCATTTCTAACACTCATACTTCTTTAATGCTTTAAACCAAATCATGCATGCACCCTTGTGGTAACATACGGGTATCAATGTTTAGATCTGACCCCCTAAGTCACTTCCCCAAGGGCTCTTTTGCTCCCCATGCTACTCTATTGATCTCTTTCAAACTCTGAAGACACCCTGTGAGTGATTAAAGGGAGATTTGGCCTCCCTATGTCGCATCTCATGGACAAAGACCCAATTCCAATGTCTTTACATTCATTAGCTGGTTAATCGTAAAACATGTTTAAGATATGTTTCTTACCAGCATAATTTGTATGATAAGACAAAATCATAAATTCTAAGATTATTAAAAGAATTACCACATTCAGTCTCTTCGTTTTTAATCTTCTATACCAGAAGGAAGATAGCTTGTTTTTAATATTTTACACCAGAAGGAAGATGGCTTGTTTTTAATATTCTAGACCAGAAGGAAGACAGCTTGTTTTTAATATTCTAGACCAGAAGGAAGACAGCTTGTTTTTAATATTCTAGACCAGAAGGAAGATAGCTTGTTTTTAATATTCTACACCAGAAGGAAGACAGCTTGTTTTTAATATTCTACACCAGAAGGAAGACAGCTTGTTTTTAATATTCTACACCAGAAGGAAGACAGCTTGTTTTTAATATTCTACACCAGAAGGAAGACAGCTTGTTTTTAATATTCTACACCAGAAGGAAGATAGCTTGTTTTTAATATTTTTACACCAGAAGGAAGACAGCTTGTTTTTAATATTCTACACCAGAAGGAAGGCAGCTTGTTTTTAATATTTTACACCAGAAGGAAGACAGCTTGTTTTTAATATTCTACACCAGTAGGAAGATAGCTTGTTTTTAATATTCTACACCAGAAGGAAGACAGCATGTTTTTAATATTCTACACCAGAAGGAAGACAGCTTGTTTTTAATATTCTACACCAGAAGGAAGATAGCTTGTTTTAATATTCTACATAGGCGTTTTTGAGTATTCAGAATTGTTTTTACTGAGCTGGATTTGCATGGATTTCAGCAATACAATTATTAACTTTGTTTTTCTTTTAAGCTTCAAGTAATATGTCAGTTTAATACCCTTCAAATATTGCTTTCTGAAGTATTTCATCTCTAGCTAATATACTTATTTTGGGCAAAATTATTCCAGTTGTACTGGGGGAGGGGTATAAGTTAGCTTTTGATAGACCTGATCATCAGTTAATACATTCATTTTGGACATAATTATTCCAGTTTTATGGGTTTTTTTTATAGATAAATAGTGTCAATGTTACTGGAACTATCACTTCATTTTTGGATATCATGAGCTGGTGTTCAAGGTGTCTAACAACACAAGGTATATCTTAATGGAAAGTAATGCTATTAATGTTATATTGGTATTATCATACTTCATGACTTACTTATACACAAACTTATATATATATTTATTTACATACACTGAAAACTAACTTACATGTAAAACATAAATGGAACTTTACACATACACACACACACTAAAATACCTTCAGGCAGCCTTCTTCCAATACTAAATTATAGTCCTCAAAAAATGTGGAACATGTCAACGTACAAGTGGATGTAAAAACCAAAATCAACGATGCTGTACAAAGATAAGTAGAAGAGTCAAAGGCATTATTTTTAACTTATCACAGACAACTCATTTATTCTCAATGAAATATACAACACACGAGTCACTAATCACAAGACGTTCATTGTTACATAACCTGGATACAAATATAACAGAATTCATTCCATTACCCACAGTAAATATAAATCTATATTTTGTGCTGCTATTTTGTTTAATATGCACACATTCACTTCAAATATCCAGAAATCCTGGTCAAAGATACTGGAGTATTAATATCTGGCTAAGTATTAAACATTAATGGGAACATCAATCTAAAATTTGATTAGTTTAGGAAATTAACTTGTTTTACATAATTTTGAAAAATTGCAAAAAATAAACATAAAAGTCACTTTTTGCTTGAATAAATTATTAATCAACAGAAACTCATTCAAATGTAGTTATTTGTAATTTTCACATATAAATAGGTAGATTCATTATCCGAAAGCTTGTTCCCTTCAAGAATTTTCCAAAAACATCAGTCAACCTCAAACGCAATTACGTCTCATGTCCGACAATCTTTTCCTTTCTTAGAGAAACACATATACATACTTAGAAAATACACATTTGACAGATGATGGCAGTAAAAACAGAGGCTGTTAATACCATCGATTTGAAGCATCTAGGCGGTAGGAGAACTTATCTTCCTTTTCTTACAGTGGCTTTGTCCAGAATCTTCGGTATCTGAGCTCTCCGAGCCTGACCATCTATCAAACGCTGATATTGTATTACTTTTGCTGTTGATGTGACTTGTATCTAATATAGTAGAAGCCGTGTAGTTTCCCGTAGCCTTGGCCTTTTCCATAGATCGTACTGGAAAAAGTAAAAACAGAATCAACAACACTCACTACTAACCCTTGGGCTACTGTAATCTAATAGTGGGAGTTGACTATCACTCTTTTAATGCACCTGTGGCCTGAATGATTTTGTTTTAGCAACATGATGTGAAATGTGAACCTTTCAGTTCTACATTCAGGTACGGTAACTATTAGCTACACCTGGCCCAATTTGAGTAGATAACAATGTACATAGATGATAATGTATGCATCTCTTCACAATCAAAGATAAAATCAAGCATATACACTTCAAATTATTATGAATTTTTTTTTTTCACACGTTAATATTTTGAGAAATTGTTTTACAACAATATTAAAACTGCTGATCAAGTAATTAGTACATCAAGGCATGGTTTAATGTTGAATCAGGTTAACAGGTCTAAATACTTTTACAGTTATCATTGTCTGTATGGTTGTATTTGTTGCCATATTTCTTGGATCAGGTTTACATACCTTTAAGTTATTGTTTCAGTGATGGACATTTTCAGGGTTATACATTTTCTTCTACAATATGTTAGTAATCTTTTTTTAGAACTTTTAAAATCTTTGTTTTATGTAACACATTAACTGTATGGTGTATGCAGGACTTGGGTGTTCATGAGTTGCATGTTGCCATGACATCATGGAGTGTTGTCAACAAGAGGTCTCAGGGGGGTGGATTAGTTGTGCTCTTTTTTTCTTTATAACTGGTCACAAAGTTTCAAAGTACTTCTCTTCAGAGGTTGAACTGCTAAACATTTCACGTTTATTTTACTATCAACGACTGAAGTAGAAATCTGCTGAAAATAAAACAACAAATCACTGCTTGTGTCATTAGACCGTTTATATGACACCGTAATGCGTTACTTTCATGAGCAACGAAACACGCACAGAAATAATCCAACTTGACCCATGCTCCGACAACATGATGCAGAATTTATCAGCTTATCTATTCTGCAGTGTTTGCAACAAGAATTCCCCAGAGTAATAAGATTGCACTTTTAATCTGTGAAAACATTTATTACAGTATATGGTTCGGAGCCGATCCAATAAACATCGCAAGCGCTTGAATATTGGTCATCCTTTTGGAATGTTTGGAATTTAGCAGTATACCGTACAAGCATACAAAGATAACTGCCCACTTTATCGAGTGCCTGTATAGAAAGTGAGACTAAAGACAACGCACTTGATTCGGAATATCGATGTGCCCGTTACAATAAGATTTATTTTGGTTACAAATAACAGAAAAAAAGAATGAGACTGAAAAAGTCTGCTCTTAATGGCGTGGTGCACGTTAATCGAGAATGTACTGTATTTACAAAAACATCAATGTCAAAATATTTTAAATAAACGTTTCAAGTAAACCATTTAAATAAACAGAAATAAAAAGGGCAAAGGAGAATCTGAAAACTCCCGAAAAATAATAATAATCTGTTTCATTTTAGAATGTCTACGGTCAACGCTGGAGCATTAATTGTTATAGTCTATTTATTACATCAAACTGCTTTATGCGTGTACTTGTACTTTTTTAGTTCTCATACTGTATTACCAAATTGTTTTCTTTCAAAAATGTGAAAGAGACTTACTCTATTATCATCCAAAAAACTTTGTACTATATTTGAACTTGATTAAAATACCAAGATACTTGAAGAGTTCCATACACTAAAAATTATTTTTAAAGTTCAGTGGAAGTAAAATCACACTTCTAACAAAATCTTACATTATTATTACACATTTACATACTTTAGTCCAGTAGCAGGGAATCAAAATGTCTATATAGTGACAGTGTTAAGTTTTAATACATCAGACTTAAATAAAAGTACAAGTCAATTATGGAAAACAATATCATTATTACTTGTACTGAGTTAGGTTGTATTTTGTTGTGCTGTTATTCTGTATGTAACGAAGTAATACGTTCCGTAACCAGGTAGATATAAAGTAATTCCACTTCGGAATAACTCAACAAGTTACAAATGTCACTATTGTATAATAAAGAGTAAACTTATTGAGAGAAATTAACACAAAGATATGGAAGAAAATTCAAATAAAACACTTGAAGAGAGCACAAACTAAAAGTTATAACATGTACTGCCAAACGAGAAGTGATAGTTTGGTAGAGTTTAATAGAGAGAGTCACATGTGTCAAGAGTGTGTGTCGCACTGTTATTGTTTGACAATTATTATATGATAATTTACATGCAAGACACATTTGAAATAGTCAATTCCATATGGGTGGAAGTTTCGAGGCTTGTGACATGCGCAAAACATTTTTTGCAATATAGAGGGCAGCACTGAATGAGAATAGCTATTTATGTGAGAGGAGGTAAGTACCTATCGGAAGTTAATATTTTCCTAAACTGAAAATATATTTCCAATAATACTTACCTCTGCTGACACTATAGTTATTTCTCCATCTCCAGGGTTTCAACTCTTTGCCCATCTGAGTACTGAGAATGCTTGCTCCAGATTTGTTATACCCTACTTGAATGCCCTTGGCAAATTATAATTTGCTCTTCACTATGAACTCATCAAAGGTGGAAAAGAATATGAGTAATCTTCAGTATAAGCCAGCCCCAACCAGATAACCGAGGTTCCACAACTCGGGGTTGGAATTTAGGGGTCATGGTACCTATATCCCACATTGGTGGCTAGGACTATTGGACCCCAATGATATATATATATACTTTTGATTGGATCCCAAACTGTAGCCATAGAGTGATGTGTTTCACACCACCAGAACCACAACGAGAAATTAAGCAACACCGAAGTGGACAAACATTCTCTTGATCCCAAATTGTAGCCATAGAGTGATGTGTTTCGCACCACCAGAACCACAACGAGAAATTAAGCAACACCGAAGTGGACAAACATTCTCTTCTACTTGAAGAATTCCAAAAGGCAACAGCCCAGGCTCAGAATGATGAGATTATGTATGCCATACTCAACCAAAGGAACAGAACTCATCTGGTCTGGAATTATGAACATTCATCCTCACTCCCCAACCAGGTGGGCAATGAGTATTCCACTTGCCCTTGGAATTATTGAGAGGACGTGGAATCTGTGCTCAACCAAGGACCTAGGATGGAACCACATCGTATTTGGAATTATGAGGAGAAACACAAATGAACAATATACAAAACCGACATGGATCAAAGAGAAGGGCCATGCACCCCCCCAATTGCGCAAATTCTGAACCAGAATTACGAGTAGGCTCCTGTGGAGGTTGGTGCTGCTCCTAGTGACATCTGTGAAAAACATCCAGGGACCCGAGTAGGAGGGCCCCCCAACTTCGTCCTCTTCTCCAGGAGTGGAAAAAAGCCTCTGCCCGTCACCCCAGCAACTGGAAACTGGGGTGGTAAGAACTCCCAAGCTCCACTAGCAGAGTTTAGGGGAGTTTGTACGTTTCTGGAATCCTGAGGAACAGTGCTCTGGAAACTGTGGAACAGGTGAACCAAGTTCTCCACATTTTTAAAAGCAAACCGACCCTGATTTATTCAACATGAAGATTGGCAGGGACAGGCAGGATCCCCTTTCATTTTACTCATGATAGGCCATGAGTGGCAGTCCATAATAATAATAAGATAATACCATCCTGTAGGTCCCTAGATGGTCTTACGGAACACCCCATTTCAACAGAACCTGTTGCAATCTGTAGTAATTATAGCGAAAGTGGTTGCTAGAGCAGAATTGACAAGAGAAAGCGTCCCTGCCTGGGCAACACTCGCCACAGAGTGGGATCCAGTGAAATAATAAAGGAACCCTGGAAATACAAAAAAAGAGTATATGATTGAGGAAAATATTCACCTATGGTAAAAATTGGTAACAGACATGGGCAAAATAACTACTGGGGTTAGTCAAAAACCCTCAGAAGAGGAAACTTCCAGATCATGTAAGTAATGAGATGGGAAAGTATTAGTAGTAGTCCACATACCAGACTGCACAATGTCTTCCAGAGGGCAATTCAACTGAGTGGCTATAATAAATCTGGTGAGATGACACACAAAAGAGTCCTCTCCTGTAACTATAATCCATTAAAGGCCCTATGAATAAAATTAAAAAGACACCGTGTTAGGGTAATGGGAGATAGGTCACGGGAAAAAGAAGGATTCCAACGAATGAACAATTGATTCCTACTACCTTGAAATCAGGTAGTACGAGCTACACAACTTGTGAGGGCCATAACAGGACATAACAAACAGTCAGGATTGGAGCAGTCATAAAGGTGAGAAATGGCTGGCAAATGGATTGGTGAGAAGGGTCCCTTACCCTGGTTGTCTTGGGAAGAAAAGACCTACTGAGGTAAAGCAGGACAAATGTGGAAAGACAAAGAGTCCGAAGAACATGAATTGCAAACAACTCCAACTGACAACGTCCATGTGCCAACAACAACAAAAAACACAATATAAAACAACTGTAAAATCACAATTCATTAACTGAAAGGGTCATCTGGCTCGAAGAATACGAAGGGTTTTGAGTAGACCTGATAGTACTGAGGATTCAAAAACCTTCCAATATTTGTAATACGAAAAGAGAGTGGATAAGGATGCTTCATATAAAGCCACTGTAAACAAAGCAAAACCCGTCTCAAATACAAAAATGGGATATGGTAGGTACTTGAGGATGAAAAGGGTGGAAATTCGTTTTAATACACCACTGACAATAAGTATGCCATTTTCGTTGATCAACTACTGTGGTTGGCCTACGGAAAGATTTAGTTAAATACAGAGAAACTGTGGAAGTTAAACCCTTATTTCAAGCAAAGGACCGCATAACTTCCAAGCATAAAAACTGAGTTTCCAAACATCTGGGTGGAGAATGTCTGATCGAAGTTGTCTCAGAGATTGCCAATGTGGAAGAGGTGGAGGAAGATATTCCTACAGATACTAAAGAAGCGGAAACCACATTTGAGCTGGTCAATATGGTGCAACCAAGTTAAAACAACAGGGAATGAAGCAAACCATAGTCAGAATCCAGGACAATAGCCGAATCGGAAGAAATGCATACAGATGTAAACCTGTCCAGTCCTGACTAAATACATCTACTGCCAATACTTGAGGATGAGGTATTGGAGACCAAAACTGAGAGCAAATCCAGCGAAAAAAACTTGCAACGTAGCATCCATTCCATCGGAAGAATCTGGTTGGATCGAGACAAGTGATCTGCAATTAAACTCATCACTCCTGGAACATGATATGCTAAAAGACTGGTATAATGGAAAATCGCCCTGTAGAGAAAATCCAAGGTATGAAAACAAGGTCTCGAAAATGTGTGCCTCCTTGTTGAGAAATCTGAGATACCACCATGGAATTGTACCATGACCTTAAAGAGAGACAGACCTTGAAGCATTGCCTGGTGTATTGCAAGGAGTTTGAGAACGTTGATATGGAGGGTAGACTCCTCTTCTGTTGGAGGTGTCAAGGTAATAGGTTGCACAGATAAAGGTGGAGGTGATGTAAAGATTAAACAACCCTGAATCCAGAACATGGACTACCCATGAATCCCGGGAAAAAACTCCATATGTCCAGAGTGATGTAAATGTGCTCCCACTGCTTCCTCGCCCAAGGGAGGTATACTGATGCTGTTGTCAACGGTCCCTCTGAGCCGAAAATTCTCGAGAATACTGATGGACTCTATTATGGGAACCAATAGACCTGTGAACCTAAGGAGGAGGTTGGGCAAAACTATGAGCTGATACTCCCAAATTAGTGCCAGAAAGGGAGAAGCCAACAACAATAAAAAAGAAAATAAACAAACTGAATCAAATTTTTATTCTAAAGCCTTTGGAACTCCAGCAAACAACATGAGATGGAGAAAGAGAGCTTCCCATAGCTCCCTGAGGGCAGAAGACGGTAAACAAATACCTTCTAACAAAGAACCTCTACCCAATAAATCTCAACAACAAACAAGCCAGGAAACCAAAGAAAGAACAGAAGAAGTCAATCTGACTGAGGTAGACATCTATAAAATCTCCAGCTCGTCCTCAAATTGCAGAGGAGAACATTGATAGACTTCCAACAAAAGTTGGATCAAAAATAAATACCTCAGTACAGTTGTGAGAGTAAGACAAATCTGAGAAACTGTGATCTGTTTAGAGTGATCACAGGTTCCAATCAAGACCCCCCCCAGGCCCAAAAGGGGGGCAAGTAGTTGAGAATCTAAATATACCTGCTCTTGGTGGTGATAAGTCAAAGCAGGCTGTTCCAATAAACACGAGGGACTAAACATAGCTATCCCGTCGTGTAACTTAGCGGCAAATCTCCCAACCTGAACAGCAATATCAGGAGAAGGAGGAGAAACCAAGTAGTCACTTATTGTCCTTTTTGCCAACAAGGAAGGGGTAGAGTCAAATGCAATAGGAGAAACTCCCAAGATCTCACCAACCCAAGTAACCAACTGAAGAAAAAGGAGTTGGAGGTGGCTGATCAAAAAGATCCTCTGTTGAAGCTGACCTAGTGAAAGAAGGAGCCAGAAAAAGCGGGTGTAAATTCTCCCCAGCTGGTTTGGGTCATTTGCAAAATGTGCCTCAGACCCCCACAGTCCGCATATATGTATCCATATCACAACTGATCGTATGACGGACAGCCTAGACTGAGAATGACCCCTCCCTGGCCATTGACAAATACCAGATAACAGAGATGGAAGAAAAGAGGTCCGAATAGCCTACATAGTAAAAACATTAACTAGGGAATTCATACCCGTCGGTGCTTGTTTTTTTATTATTATTAGAATAACTTATAAATATATGAAGATACAACCATAGTAACACAAAGCACGTTCAACGTCGCAACATGAACTGTGAATAATTACAGCACTCCTGTTTATAGAAACCCGTGCCGATTGCTTCGTCAAAAATAGTGATTACATTATCTGAATGAGGTGCTTTTATACAGTGCTTGGATAGAGGGCTCAGTGAAGCTAATGGAGAATTTTGCAAATTAGAATTTGCCAATGGCATTCGAACGGGGTATAAAAAGACTGGGGCAAGCATTCTCAATGTTTAGATGGGCAAAGAGATAGAGAAATAGCTATAGTGTCAATGAAGGAAAGTGTGTTTTGGAATTCTTATGTATCAAAACCCTCCAGGAAGTTAGTTTCATATTTGGAAGTTATATTTGTCCAAATATTGATGAGCATTTTCAATTTATATGAAGAAACAAAGAACTGTCAACTGGAAAAGGAAGTACCTAAAACTTACGAGTTACTTTAAGTAGTTAGACATTCAGCAAATTTTATTATTTTAAATAGAGAGAAAGCTATTTCTATAGGTTAATTTTTTTAAATTTCAAGTCCCAGTTGCTTTCCAGATGTTAATTGTTACATTACAAGTATTTAATATGAACAAATATTACAGTTAAATTGTTTGTTCTTACTCTGATCTTCTAAAATCTTATTTTGTCTTTTCAGGTCATCTATATCTTGGTGGTGTGAAGAGTTTCTTCTTCTCATAAACTGGATATAATCTGCAGCTTTCTTTAAAATCTGGGCCCGAGAAGACTGTTAGAAAAAGAAAAAAAGCTTAAGAGGACAAAATTAAGCTAATTTTTCTTCTCACAAGTATTTTATTCAACACTAACCAATACACTCTATACAGTAAAAACTATGATCACATATTATTGAGTTTTGATTATGCTTGTTCCCGTAAAAGTCCGGTGAAGAAAGATATTTAAAATTATCATCAGTCTTAATATAATGTCAAGCAAACCACCAAACTAAAAATAATAAACACTTATGTTGATAGGCATTATTTATAATAAACAGAGTTTTCCCAAGTCCGTGGACTTGCTTTACACAAAATTAATGTTCATTCAACAAGTATATAAATGTAAGAAACAGAAATATTTTCTTTCTAATGTAGACGTTAAGATTTAACAATAATGGTTATAAACAACATGATTTATTTTTAAATATTTAACTGAAAAATGTTGCAACATGTTATTAAAATTCCAAAAAAGATTACATTAGAGAAACTTTATACAAAACTGTTAAAAACTATCATAGTGAATAAATGTTCTGAAAACAAGTTACGTCAAGGTAACCATGGGTTTCTAGCACACGTGGTTTAAGATCATATATACAACTGTATACCCATTTTAACAGCATACAAGTCGGGGTCAATATTGCATGAGTTACTACGTTATAGGCATTATAAAGTTAAACTCAAGTTTTTTATTTTAAAAGAAGTATTTATAAGACTTTACTTATTATTATTATTATCTATTTTTTCTATTAATTTTTCCCTCTCTTTCTTAGGTTTGTTTCACTAGGATTAATTAACCAACTTGATAGTGTCACAACAGCTGAAATGCTGTCACTTCTTAATTGTGAAGTGTTTTTTACTTCTTTCATTTCATATGTGAATAGAGGTTAGATTTGCTAGTCCTAGTCTGACTTCTACATTTCTTAATAGTGAGTATTTTGCTTTTTTCCACGGTGTAGTTTGTTGTGTTTTTTGTTCTGATGTTAAATTTAACATAATCGTGTCATGTTCACACATGTTAAAATTCATAAATAATTTCATATACCATTTTAAGTACCTTTTCTCCACGCAGTGCTGGAACAGCATCTCTCAAGCTGCTAAAGCTGTCTTTGATGTGATCTCGTCTTTTCCTTTCTAGAGCATTATGGTGTGCCCTTTTTTCTGCCTGAAAGAGCAATTTTATTTACAAATATTAGACACTTAAGATTGTACATTTATATATATTCTTGGTGTTCCATGCTGACCACATTTTATTGGGAGAATGACCTAAATAATTTATAATTTTTCACATTAACAGTTAATACCAGTCAATATCGTTATGTAAGTTTTCATAAAAATACAGACCTGGGAAACATAAAAATGGTTTTTAATTTCCATGAACTTAAAACTTAATTCTGTGGAAAACGGAAGAGAAATTAACAAATTTATTATAAGTTCTGCCTTTTTGATAGGCTGAAATTATCTTTGCACTTCGTAGCATCAAAATTCCCCTGGACATATAAAACTGGCTGGTTCTCAGTGGATTTTAAAAGTTAGACGTAACGGATGGTTAAGCCTCACAATGACGTAAACAACACTTGTAACAGAAGTTAACATTTATAAGATTGTAAGGGGTTGTTTATTAAAACTACACTAGGAAGTTGAACACAGTGGTTTTAAAAATACTTCACACAAACATCAGAGATGGGAAATGTGTAATGTTTTTGATATTGATAATGGTTTTTGTTTATAGTATTTCCTTCTGAAAGCTCCAGACATATTTCTTTAGTCCAATGAATAAGATAAGTACACTTGCACTTACATTACACAATATGCTTTCGGCAACCGTGCTAAATGTTTGATGACATTTTGTTGTTGACTGGTCGAGATTTGTATTTCTCTGACCAGGTTAGGTAAGTACATCAGGGAGAAAAAAAGTGAAATATGTTAATAAATGTAAAACAAGTTAAAACTGAATATATAAAATACAAGTTTTTCATCAATAACAAATATCAGATCTATGTATTTCTTTAATTTACAGCAACAATACAACATATGATCTATTCAGTTTCTATACATTAATTATGTTTTTAAAAATGACTTTTTTATCTATTAACTTTAGTGGGACACATACTTCCTGAATTTCACTTCTTTCAGGGGATCAGTAGATTCTAAAATAATATTATGCACCCACTTTCGTTTGTTTTAAATCTTTTTTTATTTATCTTATTTAATTTTTTGTACACGAAACTCAAACACGTGAATATGGTTTGTTTGTTATGAATTTCGTGCAAAGCTACACGAGGGCTATCTGCACTAGCCATCCCTAATTTAACAGTGCAAGACTAGAGGAAAGGCAGCTAGTCATCACCACCCACCACCAACTCTTGGGCTACTCTTTTACCAATGAACAGTGGGATTGACCATCACATTATTATGCCCCCACAGCTGAAAGGGTGAGCACATTTGGTGGGACAAGGATTGAACGTGACAGGAGATTGAGAGTCAAGCGTCCTAACCACCAGACCATGCCAGGCCTTCTGAGCCTGGTCTTACTTGTATGTTATCAGAAATTTTTGCTACCATATTTTAAATTCAATGCAGTAGTCCTGACACATAAATAAGGGAAAGTCTTGAGGGCCAGCAGGCTCAATGTTGGGAAGTTCTGGGGACCTCTTTGACTTCCTGGGATCTTCAGGCTCAAGATATTTAAGACGGTGTTGTTTATACTAGAAGAACAGCAGGAATATGTATGCAGTGAGCACCTCCTTCCCTCAAGTTAACCCCATTTCTTAAATTAAGTGTCTCGGACGTAGAATGTTAGAGCCATGCTGCCCGCAAGTAAGAAATAACCCAAAATAAAATGTAAGTGATATCACTGGATGAAAGAAAAATATCAAAGGAAAAGAATATTATACCTTGCAGCATCAGAACAACCCACTGAGCTGCTAACCATGTGATGGTACACCCTTTTGGAAAGTGTAATGTGTTTCATTCTATATAACACTAACATTGCCCAGAAGTAAAACTATACATTTATCAAACTCTTAATTCATTACCAAGTCATATTCCTACATAGAACCAATTTCTGTACTGAATTTAAAACAGGAAAGGAAGAGTTAGTTAAAAACCTTAATCACAACAAATTTGATATTTTAAATACTTTCACCTTCAGCAAAATTGTTAGTACACTTTAAACTGAAGATATTTAAAAATATATCTAAATACGTCCTAGAACGTGTATATTGTATTTTGTTCGTATTCAATAATACATTATATCCCATTTTTTTAAGCATTTTGAAATAGTTCTTTACAGTATGTAGAAATAAATTAGATGTTTTTATTTTTCTGGTTCCTTGATATATTTAAAATAAATCTTTAAAGCAGTGTCTGTGTACAAATTTTGAAGTCTGGAGGTGAAAGTTAACAGTGATAATAAGGTGTATTAATCTGTGGAAACAAGACTTTTATTCTTTAAGATATAACTAATGAGGCTATACTTTTAAACAACCTCACATGTTCAGCTAAGAATAAAATAATTTTGTTGGTGTAAGAGTAGCAAGCTACCACTCAGGACGATATTTTAAAAGCTTCTTCCTTCTCTGTTTACTAATCTTGTACAATTATTTTATTTGTAAAACAATTACCTTTGCACTTGCTTCAATTACAACATAATTCACATAAAAGGCAAGTAAAATATACAGCTTGGAGTCCTTTGCTAGCTCTGCCTGAACCTTTGATACCCTACCAGCCTACAACTAGTACCGTGTATTCCTTCTAACCTGCCCAATGTTGATTTTAAATTATATATATATTAAATTTTTTTTTAATAAAAGTTAAATTTTACTGTCTATGACAACTAAGAATTAATATGTATTTATATGGAGGCATTCTGTTTGAACAGGGAAAAGTTAAAATTTGGGCATGTAAATGCTTTTTGGTGATTTTCAGTTAAACTGGTAAACTTTCAGGTTATTGATGAGCAATATTGAAATAAACGCAGTACATTGTAAACTGTAATGATACACATTTGTAACAATAGTAGGCATTAATAAATAATTGTCCTAACTGATCAGTAAAAACTATTAACACAACCTAAACATAATTACAGACTAGTAAAAACTGTTAACACAACCTAAACATAATTACAGACTGGTAAAAACTGTTAACACAACCTAAACATAATTACAGACTAGTAAAAACTGTTAACACAACCTAAACATAATTCCAGACTACTAAAAACTATTAACCTAACCTAAATATAATTCCAGACTAGTAAAAACTATTAGCCTAACCTAAACATAATTACAGACTAGTAAAAACTGTTAACACAACCTAAACATAATTCCAGACTAGTAAAAGTTATTAACCTAACCTAAACATAATTCCAGACTAGTAAAAACTGTTAACACAACCTAAACATAATTACAAACTAATAAAAACTATTAACACAACCTAAACATAATTACAGACCAGCCTAAACCACTGAGTGCAAAAAGTTGTTAGGCCTAACTGTTAGCTCTTGACAATATTTCAGTTTCACTATTAGAAATAAATTTAAAATTCATTCTTATTTATTCCTTTTTTGTAGTGGATCTTAGGGAAATAATCTCAAACAATAAAATTCATCTTTATAAAACAATATAAATTTTACTTTCCAGTAAGCATTCTGATTAAACCGTGTATTGGGAGTGGGGGGTATAATTTCAGAACAAATAATAACATTCCTGTAGATATAACTCAAAATCCTTTTGGCTCTCCCACTGGCAATAGCACACTTCCTGGAAGGCTTAAGATACTGATCCACCAAAATATTTTTGTTTCATAACATTATTGAGTTGATTTCAATGATAATTCTCTTTAGTCTTTCATGTGGTATTGAAAATCCAGATATACAAAATCCACACCTTTACCCTCTTCAGCATAAGGCAGTGACATCTTTTAAGAAGGCCAAAAGGTTCACGAGACAAGGTTTTCCCCCTTACGAAACCATACTGGTTTTTCAATAAAATTTTACTTTGTCAAACATCTTTAATCAGTCTCTCTAGAACTTTTACCACCACAAACGCAAGACTAGTGATCAGGTATCGGAAAACTGGATAATGTTACATCTGTTTGTTAAAGGATGTGACAAACATTGACCTGGTAATTATAGGCAGCGAGTCAAATATACAAACCATTTTAATAACGGGCCTTACTTATGTAATCCCTAACATCAACAAAATATTACTGGCCAGGATGCATTATTTTTTAAACTTCCCAATGTTTTTTAATCTTCAAGGCAAATACCAAATTCATGTGCATTTATCGTATTTTCCATTACTAATTTCTCAAGATCTAGAACACCGTTCAAGGCTTCTTTACTGATAGAGGAAGAAAGATTATTTTGAGTAAACGCCCTTCCTTCAACAACCCTCAAGGGCTCAATTCCTATTTTAACATTATGCTTATCTTTAACTCAGTTAAAGAAAGCCTTACTGTTTTTAACTTCTAAAAAACATTTCAAACCAACTCTTGGCTTCCTGTAGTCCTCCAAGTCTTCTTAGTTTTGGGATTTTGTTGTAAATTATTAATGTCATTGATGAGGGTAGCTTCTTGAACACTAGTAATTCCAAATTCCCTACAAGGAAGGGTTTTGAAAGAACCTTGACAGCCTTAGTGACTAGGCTAGAATGTGGTAGACAAGTTTCAATAATGCATAGATAAAGATTATGCACTTAAAGCAAGATAACATGAAAATGGCCTGCTTGTGGAAGAGGATAATTCAAGTATAAATGTTTATAAAGCCTGTGTTGACATTAATTGAATAATTCTAGCTTTGATTTACGAACATTTTGATTTAAAGGACAAGTAGTTTACTGTGATGTATATAACATAATGTTTAAGGGCAATAAGGGACCTATTGGTCCATCTTGGCTGTCCCATCCTCTAAGTTGGTAATAATAATTCTAATAAAACCTCAAAGCCAACCCTCATCATTCATATACTTATCAAGCTTTCTCTTAAACTCACTTAAATTTACTACCTCTACAGTATCCACAGGCAACCTATTCCAAATGTCAACCACCCTGTTAGAAAAATGAAACTGTCTTGGCTGAAGATGACTCCTAGCTTGCCAACATTTATGTTTGTGTCCCCTTACCATTAAATATGAAAAAAAGATAATGCATCAACACTATCAGTATCAGTTCCCTTAACAATCTTAAACATCTCAATCAGATCCCCCCTAACTCTTCTTTTTTTCCCAGAGAAAACAATTTCAGAGATCTTAACCTATCCTTATTTGACAACCTTTCCATCCCAGGTATTATCCTAGTAGTAGTAGCCCCTTCCAACAATTCAATGTCTTTTCCAAGGAAAATAGGCCTAGAATTAACATAGTACTCCAAATGTGGTCTAACCAATAACCTATATAATGACATTATCTCTTTAGACTTGTATTTATTATTTCTGCAGACAGAACGTACAATCCTGTCTTCCCTGCCACTAGCAACATCACACTGTTTGGATGTCTTAAAAGACTGATAAACCAGAACATCAAGAACCTTTTTCCTCCCTTACACTGTTAAGGTTATTCCCTGCAAAATTATACTTGTAATTTAAATTGTGATACACCACATGTATTATCTTGCATTTATTATAATTAAACGTCATTTGCTATTTACTGACCCAACTTGCCAAATAATTTAAATCCTTCTGTAAACCAGTGGTGTCCTCCTCTCGGCTAACACCACCAAAATCTTTATTATCATCATCAAATTTAAATACTCTATTTACTATTCCTTCACCTATGTCATTGATGAAAATCAAAAGAAGCAGTGGTGATAAAGTTTAGCCCCAAAAAACCTCACTTGTGACATTAATCCAGTTTCATTGAATTCTATTTATAACAACCCTAGGCTTTTTTTTCTAGCCACTATTCTATCCAACAAACCAACCTATCTCCCACACCTACATGGGTAACTTTTTTAACAAGTCTTTTATGTGGCACCTTGTCAAATGATTTCTGAAAATCCAGATACACCCAATCTACACCTATAACCTCACCTAAGTAAGCAGAGCCTCTTCAAAGAATGTCAGAATAGAAAGGCAAGATTTTCCCCTAGTGAAGCCATGTTGACTATCCAACAAAATTTTAAACTTTGTTAAATTACTTTATGAAACATCTTTTTATCAGACGTTCAAAAATGTTTCTCACCAGTGATGTAACACTAATAGTAATAGGTTATAATTACTGGAATAATTTTTATCACCTCTCTTGAAAAGTAACGGTACTAGTATATAACAAAAATTAACTTCCAATCCTCTGGCACCTGCCCATATTCAAGGCCTACGTTGTTGTGTAAGAAAAGAAATACCAATATAATATACTCCCGAGTTCAATAACTTGAAGGTGAATAACATTAACATCAAACTTAGTTATAACTTATACTATATAGTGATACTGATACTTATCCATTAGTGATACAAGTTACTACTACTAATGTCTGATGGTCTTTACTAGTGTTATAATTATCAGTATAGTACTACTACTCGATTTGACACTATTTTTTGCGCAGAACGTTCTCAGTTGCTGTCAGAAGTATATTACATTTACAAGTAGAACAAGAACTCCAAGGCCACAGTAAACATAGCAGAAAAATGCAATGTTATAAAGTTAATGGAAAACTTAATTAACTTACATCACTTTCGACATCAATATCCCTATCTTCATCACTCATTTTTTTAACTCTTCTTATAGTTTAAAAAGGTGATCAGTGATCTTCTCTTAACTTATACCAAATATAACCCATGAGTAAAATGGCGTCTGCAACACGACACGCGGTCAAACCACGTGCATTTAGCGGATTTTAGCCAGTCACGTCTCCATACAGGTTTAGTGTCATCATTGATAAGGTTTAGTTATGATCAATAAATCAAATAATAAAAATACCAACAACATTGATACTAAATATATGTTTCCACAATGAGTAGTTAAAGTTTGCAGACGTTTTTTAAAGAAGTTGTGCTTTCTTATAGAAATAAAATTATTTTTTTTGGTGAACTATTTAGTGTTGTTGCAGGGCACTCCGCGATATACGTTAGATCAGCCACTTTCAGAACAAGATAACATTTAAAAACGTATCAGTTCTTATACTTTGGAGATCAAACCGAAGAGTTGAAGTCACGTTAACAAATAAAATATAAAAAAACAGGATTAACACACTACAGAAAAAAAAATTAAAACCCGACGTTTGAGCTTACGCCTTTCTCAAGGATTACAACTGAAAAGAACACATACAAGTAAACCTTACTTTAAACTGTCGCGAATTATCGCACACACGTTAATAGGATTCGAATGGTTTATTCCCACTTAGTCTACTCTGATGTAATCATATACCAAAATATTTGTTTTATTTATTTTTTTGTAAACTTGGTATGCCACTTTATTGTAAATGAAAAAAACTTTAAAACAATATTATAATTCCTCGAGAACAAGCTAAGTTTTTAATGTGATATATTTGTAGTGTATATATGCATGTACATAAAACTATCGATGTGTGAATGTTTTAAAAGTCTATTACATCGTACTACAAACAGTATAAATAAAAAAATTCGTTCTTTTGAAAACTGTGCCAAAGGGGTTTTCTATTTAAACCTTATTCTATATTTGGCAACCTGATGATTGTATTTATTAACTATATTTCCATTTTGTCTATTGCCAATGGGAGTAGACGAACTTGGATGTTACCATTCCAATGACTAACTGACAAAAAAAAAAAAAGTTAGTTGTTGAACAACAACAACAACAAAATAATATTAATAATTACAAAGGCCAAGAATTATTTCTATTTATTTTAAGTTTATAAGATTGAAACAGGAGAGGCTCTTTGAATTTATGATCAAGGAAACTGTTACATTTGAATAACAGCTTAATGTCAAATGCATCTTTAGGCTGTATCTTCATTTAATGATAAAACCCATTCTTTTTGGCTTTTCTTTGCCTATAGACGCTTGATACATTAAGAACGACTGAAATAATAATTTGAGTAGTAATTAATATTGTTACGACAGCGCAATTCACGTGGCGCTGGTAACACGTAATGAGTAT